CACAAAAGTCAACTCTAAATGAATCAAAGGCCTAAACGTAAAACTTCAAACTGTAAGAATCTTAGAAAATGCAGGAGACACCCTTACAGAAATTGGAGTAGGCAATCAATTCCTGATCAAAACCCCAGGTGTCCATGCCATAAGAGGTAAGATAGACAAGTGGGTCCTTATTAAACTGAAAAGCTTCTGCAAAGCTTAAGAAACCATCAAGAGAGTGGGGAGACAGCCCACAGAATGGAAAAAAATATTTGCCAACTATATATCTAACAAAGGCCTAACATCCAAGATCTATAAGGAACTCAAACATGCCAAAAGAAAAAAAACAAACAGCCCCATTTAAAAAGTGGGCAAGCCGGGCTCGGTGGCTCAGCCTGTAATCCCGTGCTTTGGGAGGCTGAGGTGAGTGGATTGCCTGAGCCCGCGGGTTCGAGACCCGCCTGGGCAACTTTGGTGAGACCTCATCTCTACAATAAATCAAAAATTCAGCTGGGCGTGGTAGCGGGTGCCTGTAGTTCCAGCTACTTGGAAGGCTGAGGCGGAAGGATCACCAGAGCCCAACAGGTCAACGCTGCGGTGGCCGGGAGTAGCCACTGCACTCCAGTCTGGGTGACACAGTGAGACTCCAACTCCAAAAAAAAAAAAAAAAAAAAGTGGGCAAAAGACACGAACAGACACTTCTCAGATATATGGGCTGCCAACAAACACATGAAAAAGTGCTCAGTCTCACTAATCATCAGAGGAATGCAAATCAAAACCACATTGAGGTACCACCTAACCCCAGTAAGTATGGCCATCATTAATAAAACAGATGCACCAGTCTTGGTGGCTCAGCCTGTAATCTCAGCGCTTTGGGAGGCTAAGGTGAGTGGATTGCCTGAGCCTGCGGGTTTAAGACCCACCTGGGCAACTTGGCGAGACCTCATCTCTACAATAAATCAAAAAATTAGCTGGGTGTGGTAGCGTGCACCTGTAGTTCCAGCTACTTGGAAGGCTGAGGCGGAAGGATCGCCGGAGCCCAGCAGGTCGAGGCTGCGGTAGCCGGGAGCATGTCACTGCACTCCAGTCTGGGTGACAAAGTGAGACTCCAACTCAAAAAAATAAAAAAATAAAAAATAAATAAAACAGATCTAGGCAAGGAGGCGGAGAAAAGGGCACACTTCTACACTGCTGGTGGGAATGCAAACTAGTTCAACCTCTATGGAAAACTGTGCAGTGATTCTAAAAGAACTAGAAATTGACCTTCCATATAACCCAGCAAACCCCCTACTGGGAATATACCTGGAGGAACTCAAAGCATTCTACAAAAGAGACACCGTATAAGCATGTTTATTGCAGCACTATTCACAGTAACAAAAACATGGAACCAACCATGCTGCCCATCAAAACTGGACTGGACTAAAAAAATGTGGCACATATACACAATGGAATATTTCGCAGCCATAAAGAAGGACAAACATATGGTCTGCAGCAACTTGAATGGATTTAGAGTCAATAATACCAGTGATCTACCACAGAAACAAAGAACAGAGTACCACATGTTCTCACTCATAAGTGAGCCCTGAATATTTACCATAATAATATAAGAAAGGGATTGGTAGTAGCAGGATACTGCTGGGGTGGGGAGTTGGGGGGTTGACAACATCAATAAAGGTACCTGATCTTCTCAAACCAGGCAAAGTAAGGACCAAAGAGAGGATCAAACTTTACCTGTATTATATATATATATAGGTATTTTTTTATATATGTATATCTGTGTGTGTGTGTGTGTGTGTGTGTGTGTGTGTGTGTGTGTGTGTGTGTATATGTGTGTGTGTATATATATACATACACACAAATCTGGTGGGAAATGGTGGGAAATGCCTACAGGAGGATCTGGTGGGAAATGTCTACAGGACAAACAGCCCCAGCTGCCAAATGGATCAGTCACACAGGAAAGTCCTGCACTGAAAAGACCTGTGAGATGTGTCCACAACAGGCAATGTCAGGGTGTTTTTGAAAACTGATGTGAACAAGTCAGCTATAAAAGGCAATTTTTGACACAACCTGGAAAATCTGAACAATGACTGGTAAGTAAATATTTTAAAATTACAATTAATTTCATTATAAATGATTATGTTATGTGTAACTGTTTTAGAAAGACAATTCTCTCTTTAGTCTTTCTTTCTTTAGCCCAGGCTAGAATGCAATGGTACATTTTCAGGCTTAGCATGGGCTCATGACTTTAATCCCAGCACTTTGGGAGGCCAAGGCAGGAGGACTGCTTGTTCAAGACTAGCCTTGTGAGACCTTGTCTCTGAAAAAAATCAAAAAATTCAATGTGAGCTGTGATTGTGCCACTCACTCCAGCCTGGATGACAAAGTGACACCTTAACTCAAAATAAATTAATAAAAAGCACTTTCACATACATTTTCCTGATGCTGGGTGCCCAGACAATGCTCAATAAATTCTGGTGAAGATTCAGGACAAGAGGAACACTCCCCTCAAGCCTTCAGTTTCCCCCTCCCACAGTAAAAGGAAAAAGTCTTGACCTGTTATTAGAGACCACTATCCTCACGCTCCACCAACCCCCAACTATATTGCCCAAGACTCCCTTTTTTTTTTGAGGGGCTCTCTCTGTCACCCAAGCTAGAGTGCAGTAGCACACTTATGGCCATCACAGCCTCGACCTGCTGGACTCATGCGATTCTTCCACCTCAGCCTCCTAAATAGATGGAACTACAGGCATGTGCCACCATGCCTAGCTAAATTTTTAGGCATGTGCCACCATGTTGCCCAGCTGGTCTCAAACTTCGAGGCTCAAGCAATCTCTCATCTCAGCATTCCAAAGTGCCAGGATTAGAGGTGTGAACCACCATGCTCAGTCTCTCTCTTTTTTTTTTTTTTTGGTCAAATCTTCCCTTTATTCCACTGTATTTCCAAACTGGATTATCTGCAGTTCTCTGCAAGTGTCCCATACTTTTCTCCTGCAGACCTCTGAAGGCCCTGGAATGCCCTTCCACTGTCTTTATTTGTCCAACTCCTACATTTTTGGAGATTCATCCAAAAATTAGCTCCTACATAGTCTTTTTTTTTTTTTTTTTTTTTGAGTCAGGGTCTCACTCAGGCTGGGGTGCAGTAGCATGATCACAGCTCACGGCAGCCTCAATCTCCTGGACTCAGACAATCCTCCCACCTCAGCCTCCCAAGTAGCTGGGACCACAGGTGCATGCCACCACACCCAGCTAAATTTTTTTATTTTTGGAAAGACTCGCCATGTTGCCTAGGCTAGTCTCGAACTTCAGTCTGTGAAGAAATAATTAGGCCAGCAAAAATTAAATAATTACAATGAGGAGGGGAGTCTCAGGGTGGGATTTTACAGATGTTTCAAGAACTGTGTTAACCCCAGCAGAAGTTGTAAAAGCTTGTTAAACAGTTGCAGGTCATTGTCGTAAGCAAACCTTTACTGACCCAACCAGTGTAAATAAAAAAGCAGTAAACTAACCTTATGTTAAAAAACAGAACACCACAACCATCAGCTGTCTTGCAAAATCTGTCATGCATAAATAATTTCCTTCTTGCAGACCCCAACATGTATTACATGAGACAATTCCCCTTGCAAATCTCTCGTATATTACTGATTCCCTGATACAGCATGGACACTTCCCAGCACAGCCTGACACTGCTCTGATTTCCCCAGCACCCCAGTAAAAATTCCCTCTGGCCCCTGCCTCTTGGCAGACAGCAGGCAGCATCTCTCCCCTCTGCTGCCCGTAGTACTCATTCAAATAAATCTTCCCTTAAATAGATCTGCCTTTCTAAATTCATAACTGTCTTGGCAAATTCTTTTTACCACCCTGCGACTCAGGCCTTACCTAGTCGTTTGCACAACACTGATCTCAAGCGATCCTCCCACCTCGGCCTCCCAAAGTTCTGGGATTACAGGTATGAGTCACTGTGCCGGGGCCCCTGAACTGTACTATTTATTTATTTATTTTGCTTTTTTGGGTGCACACATGGAACACACTATTAAGCACCTACTGTTGGTCTGTACATCCAGCAAATATTTATTTTGAACACCTATTATATTCTAGACCTGTGCTAGGGGATTAAGTATTCTACGATGAACAAACACTGTACCAACTTCATGGAGGTTACAGTCTAGAAAGTCTAGAAAGGGTACACTAATTATAGCAGAAATTACAGAGATGTGTAGGAACTATGACAGGAAATAACAGAAGTGTCAAACACAACTGGGCCCTGCCACGGTAAGGCTCCTGATTTAGAACGAATCACTTCTTACGTGAATTCACTGCGTGCCTTAATTTTTAACAATGCCGCGCTCCTGGGCTGTTGGGCCTTAAATACGTGACGCCATAACCTGACACAGTAGGCCCTCGGGAAACAAATGTTAGTTCTTTCACTAGGTGCGGTGCCTCCTCTTCTGGAGAGAAACTGTTTAGGCTCCGCATCCTAACCCCCAGCTCTGGGCCCGGTCAAAGAGATAAACCTACTAAGCATTTCAGAAATAGGTACGATAGGAAAGAATATGGGAGAAAAAAAAAATTCAGCATTTGCATCAGTTATCTCCTTTGGTCGTCAAGCCCCATCATTCCCATTTTTATTTTTACAGATAAGGTCTCGCCAAGTTGCCCAGGCTGGTCTCGAACTACTGGGCTCAAGCAATCCTGCCTCGGCCTCCCCAAGTGCTGGAACTACAGGTAGGAGCCACCGCGTCCGGCCCATCACTCCCAATTTTAGGGTGAAATAACTGAAGCTATGAGAGAGAACAGGATCCTCAATATGGTCACAGAAGCCCCAGCTCCAGACCACCTTCCGTAACTCTTAACACCCTCGCCCCAAAAGAGCCTTTGGGTCCCAGACCCGGGAGAAGACTGGAGCCCTCCCCAGAAGTCTTTGCGGTGCGTGCAGAACTCTGGGATACTAGCGGATAAACAAACCCGAGGCCAGGGCCGAGACTGAAGCCAGCCGAGTGCCTTCTTCCACCCGCCTGTGTGCTCACCTTTCCTGGAGCTGCCGCCATCGGGGACCTCAGTGACCTCCGCAAAAGCCGGGAACAGCGCCATGGCCACAGGCCGCGCCGCAGTTCCTCTCTACGAGAATGGCGCCGGCCAGCGGGCACCG